ATGCGCGAGATTAAGGACAAGGATCTACGCAAAAAGCTTGTTAACATGGGTAATAAAATAAATTTCAGTTATCTCAACTATTGTATCATACTTTTACTATGTTTTTCACACAATTTCTATTACAGGTTACGCATTGACGGAGGCTACATTTAACTACTATCACGGAGAAATCAGAAGAACAGACATTGAGGCTTCAAATTGGATAGACAACATACCTAGGGAGAAGTGGGCTAGAGCATTTGACGGAGGACAATGTTGGGGACATATGACATCTAACTTGGTAGAGGCCATGAACTCTGTACTAAAGGCAACCAGAAACCTTCCAATCACTGCTTTGGTCCAGTCTACATACTATCAAATGGGTTCACTTTTTGGTAAACGAGGACATTAATGGACTAAAATGCTAGCTACAGGGAAAGTTTTCACAAATGGTTGCAACAAGAGAATGGCTGATGAGGTAGCCAAGGCGAACACACACAATGTCATGCAATTTGGTCGCGAAAGGTTCTGTTTCATGGTGCAGGAAAAAATTAATCAAAATGATGGTCGTCCAACGAGTACTTTCAGTGTTGACCTGAGGAATCGTTGGAATGACTGTGAAAAATTTCAAGCATTTCACTTGCCTTGCTCCCACATGATCGCAACATGTTCTAGCATACAAAAAGATTACACAATTCACATTCCAGAGGTCTTCATAATACTTAGCGTATTCAAAGTCTACAAAGAAAGCTTTCTAGGACTACCACACGAGGAGAGCTGGCCAAAATATGAAGGTTTTACTCTATGCCACGACGATTCTATGAAAAGAAATAAAAAGGGACGTCCAACCAGTAGTAGAATTAGAATTGAGATGGACGACGCTGAAAAAGAAAAGAGAAGGTGTTGGAATTGCAGAGAAATAGGTCATATGCGTAGAAAATGTCCAAATGTTGTCAGCCCGTCAAACCGACCGTCTAGATAATTTTATTTATTTTGCTCGCACTTGTTTTCTATGTGATCCAACATTTATTTGTAATTCAATACAACTTTTAAATTACAGCAATACTAGCAAATTACAACCATAAACTTAAAAATAAAACTCAGGGAGCTAACATACACGCTAACCAACAACAACAACAACCACAAGTGGATCTGTGACTCCTCTGTTAACTTCGCCACTATGTGCTGAAAACATACATTGGACATCTTCATCATTTTCTATACGATCCAAGTAATACATGTATGTACCCTTCGGGATGGCATCAGTCAGCGTTATATACGGACAACGATACTTCATTTTTCTCGCCGTCATGCGACGACCGTCCAATTGTCGAAACCCCCGCGTTAATTTTTGCAACCACGATTCTGAAATTCCACTGCGGATTTAGGTAAACATTGATTTCTTTTTCTTGTCCATAAAAAAAAAGAGCTCGGACAGACATTTTTAAAACACGGAACACTAGATACGAATGATTTGTGCTGATGCGCAATACGTCTATTTATAAAAAAATACGTTTGAACTCGGTCATTCAATGACCGAGAGTCTATAAAAACTTTACAACTCATTGGACGAACATCAATCATTCTTTTTTATTACATGACAGAAAGAAAAATTAAATTATTATATCATTCACATTTTTTTCCATTTTATATGATATTATATTATAAAATTAATATAATAACATGATATATAATATTGTTATAAAGATTATTTATAATTAAATTAAATATCATAATTAAACATGATATATAATAAATATTTAACATTAATGTCATAATTAAATTAATATAATACATTTTAATATTTAAAAAAATTATTTTAATTAATTAAATATAATATAAATAAATAAAAAACATAAAAAAAAAAACTGTTTCTTCATGTGTTTGCCATCTGAGTGGGCGAGCACCAACGGGGTCAAAATCCATGCATCTGCTCGTCAGTTCATTGGACGAGCAAGTTCTGAAATTAGAGCACCTTAATAAATTATTTTCAGACCAAGATAGTTTGATATTAAGTGTTTCAAACAAGGACAGTCTTGTAAAAAAAAGTATATGTTAATCAAGGAACACAATTTCATATATGTAAAGTGGATGTCTTAGCAATAACTGTTATTGAAGAGATCATATTCAAGATGTCACTAATGTCACAATATGTAATGAATGCAAACATGCTCTTGCTAAACTATATATGACATTGCACATTATCTGCCAGCAGCATATTTTTGAAGACAAATGAAACTTATAAAATGGCGGAGAGGATGTTATTCTCAGAACTTCTCTTTGTATTTCAAATGTCTTACATTTGATGTGTTTACATTTTGTTCTTATATAGAGATTACAAGATAGAGAATATTAAATGCTATGAAAATTAATGCTAGTGGGTCCCTAGGAAATATTTGGCTGCCCAAGAGCATCTGGCTTTTGCGCTCCCCCATACTGATTTGAATTTAACCAATAAAACTCCCCCTTAAATTCAAATGTTCCTTCGATCCATCATACCCAACATCTTCTTTCCTCTGTCGAACAGCTCTTTCGATAGTGGTTTTGTGAGGATATCTGCTGCTTGATCTTTGCTTGCAACATGCTTCAGTTCGACGCTTCCTTCCTTCACATGTTCTCGGATGAAATGAAATCTGACATCAATATGTTTGCTTCTTTCGTGGTTCACTGGGTTCTTTGCTAGTTCGATCGCTGATTTGTTGTCCACTTGAATTATTGTTGCATCTTCTTGTTTCGACTCCATTTTGCCCAACAGTCTTCTTAGCCAAATTGCATGACACACACACCATGATGCTGCGGCATATTCTGCTTCACACGTCGAAAGAGTCACAATTGTTTGCTTCCTCGAAAGCCAAGTGAAAGCAGTATTTCCCATAAAGAAAACATAGCCTGAGGTGCTCTTTCGATCATCAACGTCTCCATACCATTCACTGTCAAAATATCCAGTTAGCTTGTAGTCTTCTCCTTTCGAATAAAACATTCCAAGTGACACGGTTCCTTGGACGTATCGAAGTATTCTCTTCAAAGATTTCCAGTGCGTATAAATTGGCTCTTCCATAAATCGACTCACTATTCCCACACTTAGTGAAAGATCAGGTCTTGTGCATGTGAGGTAACGAAGGCTTCCAACCAGACTTCAAAATTTGTTTGCTTCGACACGCTCTCCCCCATCAAATTTTGAGAGCTTTGCTCCAGGCTCCATTGGTGACGAAATTGGATTGCAGCTATCCATGTTGAATCTCTTTAGGATGTCTTTGGCATACTTCTCCTGAGAGACAAAGATACCATCATCTTCTTGTCGAACCTCCAGACCAAGAAAGTACTTCATCAGACCTAAGTTTGTCATCTCGAATTCCTGTGTCATTGCACCTTTAAACTCTTCTATCAATCGATCATTGTTGCCCAAGAAAATCAGATCATCAACATAGAGGGCAACTAACAACATTTTCTCTTTATCTTTCTTCACATACACAACATGTTCATAGGGACACTACTGAAAGCCATTCTCCTTGAAGTATGTACCGATTCTGGTGTTCCACGCTCTCGGCGCTTGCTTCAGCCCATAAAGTGCTTTCTTCAATTTTAGCACTTTTCCTTCGCTTTCGACCTTCATGTACCCAAGTGGTTGTTCGACATATACTTCCTCTTCGAGCACACCATTCAGAAATGCTGACTTGACATCCATCTGATATATTGGCCATTCGAATTGAGCTGCATGAGATATGAGTAATCGAATCGTTTCCATGCTCGCAACAGGCGCAAATACTTCATCATAATCGACCCCTGCTTTCTGCTTATAGCCTTTCGCTACCAGTCTTGCTTTGTATCATTCGATTTCACCTTCAGCGTTCATCTTCTTCTTAAACACCCATTTTACTCCAATGGTTTGACTTCCTTTGGGTAACTCTGCCAGTTCCCAAATATTGTTTCTTTTGATGGCTTTGATTTCTTCATTCATGGCTTTCTTCCAGTTCCGATCTTTCACTGCTTCTTTGAAACTGACATCTTCAGTGTCTTCCAGCAAGCATACAAGATTTACTTCCTCTGTGTTTTCATACAGATCTTGTAAGCTTCGCAATCTGGGTTGAGAGGGCTCACTTTCATCATCAAAGTTTTCAGGTTCTGTCGAAGTGCTTAATGGTACAGCAGTTGGTGATTCTTCGGTTTCGACAACAACCTCTTTCGAATTGTTCCAGTCCCATCTGCTTGCTTCGTTCATACGAACATCTCTGCTTACTATCACCTTCTTGTTTATTGGGTCGAAGAGTCTATAGCCTTTTGTTTTTTCATCATACCCGATGAGTATGTACTTCTGACTTTTGTCTTCCAGCTTCGTTCTCTTCTGATCTGGCACATGTGCATAAGCCACACTTCCAAATACTTTAAAATGAGATATTGTTGGCTTTTGTCCATTCCAAGCTTCTTGAGGTGTTAAGTCTCCTAGCTTCGAATGTGGACATCTGTTCTGAACATAAATTGCACATTGCACAGCTTCTGCCCAAAATTCCTTCGACATGTTCTTACTCTTAAGCATTGATCGAACCATGTCAAGGACCGTTCGATTCTTCCTTTCAGCTACTCCATTTTGTTGAGGTGAGTACGCTGCAGTCAGAAATCTCCTTATGCCTTGTTCTTCGCAGTACTTCATGAAGGTTGTCGAAGTATACTCTTCACCCCTGTCTAATCGAAGGGCTTTGATGCTTCTGTCAGTTGCTTTCTCCACCTTCACCTTAAATTTCTTAAACGTTTCGAATGCCTCTAATTTTTCTTTCAGAAAGTACACCCAAGTCTTCCTTGAATAGTCATCAATGAAAGAAATGAAGTACTTCTTGCCACTGGAAGATTCCGGAGTGATTGGACCACATATGTCAGTGTGAATCAGTTCCAAAATGTGTTTAGCCTGATACTCTGCCTTCTTTTGAAATGATGTTCTTGTTTGTTTGCCAAACACACAGTCTTCACAGAATTTTCCATCGAACTCCACATCTGGCAGTCCTGCACCATATTCTTCTTCGCCAATCTTCTTAGCCCATCTTAATGCAAATGACCAAAACACAAGTGCCACAGAGATGCTTGGTCTTCGACATTAACATGCAAGCATTTTTCTCGAATGTTTTTCAGATTCAGCTTGTACATTCGATTCTTTCCCATCTCGACTAGAGCAACTAGACGTCCTGTCTTATCTTTCAACTGTAGGTTTCGATCTTCCATGAGTATCGAATATCCCTTCTCTGTAAGTTGTCCCAAACTCAGAATGTTTGCTTTGAGATTTGGTACATAGTACACCCCTTCGATTGATCCTACTACGTTATTCTTCTACAAGAAACATATTGTTCCTCTTCCTTCGACATTTACCTTCGAGGCATCTCCAAATGAAACATGTCCATCTTCCACACTCTTCATTTCTTTGAA